TGGTTCTGATGCTTGCTCTTTCATTTATTTTTTGCTTAATTTTTTTTTTCCTTGATAGCCTGACAGTATACCAAAAAAGGAACTGCTGCAATTCGATCTTTAGTAACATGGTGGTGAGGTGTGGGGAGAGGGGAAGTATGGTTAGATCTCAGGTTTTTAGCGAGGTCTCTGGACTGTGCGCTTCATAAATGTTTCTGTTTTTCTTTTCCATCCCACTTAGGTGAGAGAGGATGGCTAACAACTGCTTAAGTTGGATATTTCTCTTCTCCCATGTGGAAGGCTAGAGCTGACAAGAGTTGAATAACCCTTCTTCTAGGTCAGTTACACTCTTAATTATACCCCAGCAGTTTAGGTCTTGATTTACTATTTTCTTCTGAGGGCAGAACCTTTTTAAGAAGAACACAGTGTACAACAAGAAAAAAAGAAAAAAAGAACATAGTGCTCTGGCATATTTCAAATGATTTCTTTCTTTCTTTCTCTGCTGAAAGCATGAGTGGGTTTTTCTCTGATATTTACTCTGAGAACCTGGTCAAGCTCCTGGAGGTAAATCTCACAAAGTTGTAGGCTCCTCCTATGACCGGGTCCCGCTGGAGTTTGTAACTCTCTAAGTTGTCTGCACTGGGCCTCCAGCTCTCATCAGTTACAGTCCAGGTTTTCCTCTCCCAGCACTGGCTCCCATGAGTTTCCTTCCTGAATCTCTGTATTTTCCTGTCTGCCTCTTCAAACCTGGATGCAGCTATTTGCTGTTTGTTCACTGCTCTTACAAACATGCTCTTCCAGGATATGAAGAGTTGTTGATTTGTCAACATGTTCAACTTTCTCTTGTATTTAATCTGAAGTGTGAACTTCCAAGCTCCTTATATGCAGAACTGGAAACTGGAAGTTTTTTCTCATTGTGGTTTTGATTTGAATTTTCCTGATGATTAGTGAAGTTGAGCAACTGTTTATATGCTTGTTGGCCATTTATATGTCATCTTTGAAGAAATGTCTATTCAAATTCTTTGTCCATTTTTTAATCAGGCTATTTGACTTTTGCTGTTGAGTTACAGGAGTTCTTTGTATATTCTGGATATTAATCTCTTATCAAATTTTAGATATGAAAATCTTTTATTCTATTCCACAGGTTACCTTTTTACTCTGCCTTTTTTTTTTTTTTTTTTTTTTTTTTCCGGAGACAGCGTCTCACCCTTTCTCCCAGGTTGGAGTAAAATGGCAGGATCTCAGAGCACTGCAATCTCTGCCTCCTGGGTTCAAGTGATTCTCCTGCCTCAGCCTCCCGAGTAGCTGAGATTACAGGCACACGCCAGTATACCCAGCTAATTTTTTTGTATGTTTAGTAGAGATAGATTTTCACCATGTTGGCCAGGCTGGTCTCGAACTCCTGACCTCGTGATCTGTCTGCCTATGCCTCTTAAAGTTCTGGGATTACAGGTGTGAGCCAGTGCACCTGGACTCTTTTCACTCTGTCGATTGTGTCCTTTGTTGCACAAAAGTTTTTAAGATTCATGTAGTCTCACTTATCTGTTTTTGCTTTTATTGCCTGTGCTTTTAGTGTCATATCCAACAAATCATTGTCAAGTTCAATGTCATGAGGCTTTCCCTATATGTTTTCTTATAGGAATTTAATAAGTTTAGGTTTTATGTTTAGCTCATTAACATATTTTGAGTTAATATTTGTATATGGTGTAAAACAAAAGCCGAACTTCATTATTTTGCATGTAGAAATATCTTTTATTCTATTCCACAGATTACCTTTTCACTCTGCCTTTTTTTTTTTTTTTTTTTTTGAGTTTTCAACACCACTTGTTGAAGAGACTGTTTTTCCCCAGTGAGTACTCTTGGTATCCTTGTCAAAATCATTTGACGACAAGCATAAAACTTAAATTTATGGGCCATGTATTCTATTCAAGTGACCTATTTGTCTGTCTTATGCCAGTACCACACTGCTTTGATTATCATAGATTTGTAATATGTTTTGAAATCAGAAAATGTGAGTCCTCCAACTTTGTTCTTTTTCAAAATTTTTTGATTATTCAGAGTCCTTTGATATTCCAAATGAATTTCAGGATACATTTTTCAGTTTTTTCAAAAGATCCCATAAGCATTTTGAAAAGGATTGCATTGACTTTGTAGGTCACTTTGGATATTATGAACAATTTAACATTATTAAGTTATTCAATCCATAAACACAGAATATCTTTCATTTATTAGTGTCCACATTAATTTCATTCAGCAATATTTTATGGTTTTCAGTGTACAAGCTGTTTATCTCCTTGGTTAGGTTTATTCCTAAGCTTTTTATTGTTTTGAATGAAATTGTAAATAGAATTGTTTTCTTAATTTCCTTTTTGGATTGCTCATTGTTCATGTATAGAAATGCAACTGATTTCTGTGTGTTGGTTTTGTACCTTGTAACTCTGTTTAATTCATTTCTTAGTTCTAACAGATTTTATTGTGTATGGACTCATTAGAGTTTTCTATGTGTACAATTTTGTCCTCTGTAAACAGAGATTATTTTACTTCTTTTTTCCAATATGGATGTCCTTTATTTATTTTTCTTGTTTAATTGTTCTGGCTGGAATTTTCAGCACTATGTTGAATAGAAGTAGTGAGAGTGGGCATCTTTGCCTTGTTTCTGGTATTAGAGAAAAAGCTTTTAGTCTTTTATCATTGTGTATGATGTTATCTGTGGGCTCTTTATAAATGGCCTTAATTGTGTTCATGGAGTCGCCTTCTCTTCCCATTTAGTTAAGTGTTTGAACTTGAAACAGTGTTGAATCTTGCCAAATTATGTTTCTCCATTGATTGAGACAATCATGATTTTTGTCCTTTGTTAATGTGGTGTGTTACATTGATTTCTTTTTCATGTATTTATTTATTTATTAATTTTTGAGACAGGGTCTCACTCTGTCACCCAGGCTGGAGTGGAATGGTGGGATCTTGACTCACTACAGCCTCAACCTCCTGAACTCAAGCAATCCTCCCACCCCAGGCTCCCGAGTAACTGGGACCACAAGCATGTGCCCCTACACCTGGCTAGTTTTTTGTAGAGGTGGGGTTTTGTCATGTTGCCCAGGCTGGTCTTGAACTCTTGAGCTCAAGCAATCCACCCACCTTGGCCTCGCAAAGTGCTGGGATCACAGTTGTGAGCCATCACAGCCATATGTTGATTTTTGTATGTTAAACTATTCTTGCATTCCTGGAGTAAATCCCATTTGGTTACCATATATGGCTTTTTAATGTGCTGTTGGATTTGGTTTTCTAGTATTTTGTTGAGGATTTTTGCATTCACATTCATCAGAGATATTGGTCTGTAGTTTTCATTGCTATGATATAACGATCTTAGAAGCATTCCCTCCTCTTTAACTCTATGAAGGAGTTTCAGGAAAATTGGTGTTAATACTTTTGTAAATGTTGAGCAGAATTCTCCAGTGAAGCCATCTGGGATTTCTTTTTAGGGAGATTTTTATTACTAATTCAATTTCCATTCCAGTTATCGAGCTTTTCAGATAGTTTACACCTTCATGATTCAGTCTTGCTAGGTTGCGTGTTTCTCAGAATCTGGACATTTCTCTTAGGTTATCCAGTTTGTTGGCATGCAGTACAGACTCACAGCATTCTCATGGTCCTTTTTATTTCTGTGATATCAATTGTAATACCTCTTTTATCATGTCTGATTTTATTTTCATCTTCTCCTTTTTCTTTAATCTGGCCAAGGGTTTACCAATTTTGTTGGTTTTTTGTCCTTTATTTTTAGTTTTAATTTTGTTTATCTCTGCTCTAATCTTTATTATTTCCCTTCTGCGAAATTTGAGTTTAGTTTGTTCTTGTTTTTTGGTTTCTAAAGATGTAAAGTTAGGTCACTGATTGAAATCTTTCTTCTTTTTTAGCTTGTGCATTTACAACTATAAAATTTCCTCAGCATTGCTTTTGCTGCATCCCACAAGTTTTGATATGTGTGTTTTCACTCTCATTTGTCACAATGTATTTCCTAATTTCCATTGTGACTGATTTCGTGACCCCATTGGTTATTTAAGGGGTTGCATAATTTCTGAATATTTGAGGATTTTTCGGTTTCTCTTGTGTTAACTTCTAGTTCACTATATGGTGATTGGAAAAGATCCTTTTTATGATATGAGTGTTTTTGAATTTGTTAAGATGTGATTTGTGACCTAACATGTGATGATGTACCCTGGAGAATGTTCCATGTGCACTTGAAAAGAATGTATACCCTGGTGCTGTTGGTTGCAATGCTCCATATATATCTGTTGGGTCCAATTGCTTTATAGTGTTGTTCGAGTCTTCTATTTCCTTACTAATCTTCTGTCTGGTTCTTCTGTCAACTATTAAATGTAACTTGTTAAAGTCTTCTACTACATTGTGGTCCTGTGTTTTTCTCCCTTCAATTCTTTCAAAGCTTGATTTATATATTTAGGAGCTCTTAGGTTTAGTGTGTAAGTATTCATAATTGTAATATATTTATGGTGAATTGAACGTTTTTCATTATATGATGTCCTTCTTTGCCTCCTGAAAGGTGATTTTTGTTTTTGTTTTGTTTTTGAGACGGAGTCTTGCTCTGTCTCCCAGACTGGAGTGCAGTAGTGCGATCTTGGCTCACTGTAACCTCCGCCTCCAGGTTCAAGCAATTCTCCTGCCTTAGCCTCCTGAGTAGCTGGGACTACAGGCACACACCTGTATTTTTTTGTATTTTAGTAGATACGGGGTTTCACCATGTTTCTCAGGCTGATCTCAAACTCCTGAGAGCAGGCAATGCTCCTGCCTTGGCCTCCCAAAGTGCTAGGATTATAGGCATGAGCCACCACGCCTGGCCTGTCTCCTGTAAGCTTTTAATTTCAAGTCTATTTGTTTGATATTAGAGCCACTTTTGCTCTGTTTTGGTTATTATTTGCCTGGAATATGGCTTTCCATTTTTTCACTTTTAACCTATATATATCTTGATATTAAGACTCATTTTGTAATTTTCTTAATTGCCTTTTTGAACAAAAATAAAATACTTCACAAATTTACACGTTATCCTTGCTCAAGGGCCACATTACTCTTCTGTCTTGTTCCAACTTTAGTTTATGTACTGCTGAAGAAAGCTCTGTCAAATATTTTTGCATGTCTTATGACTTTTTTGTCCCTCATTTTCTCTGATTTCCTTTGTATTATACTGATTTTTTGTACTGATATACTTTGATTCGTTTTTTCATTTTCATTTTTCCTGTATTCTACAGACATTTTTTATGGTCACCATGGCAATTATGTAAAGCATCTTAAAGTTATAGTAGTCTATTTTAAACTGTTAACAACTTCAATCACAAACATTGTACTACTTTGCAGCTTTGCCCCCCAAAACTTTATTGATGTCACCGTTACATATTTACATATTATATACCAGTTAACATGCAATTGTACGTATTTGTTGCATAGTTTTATCATTTAAAATCTATGCACCAAAATTAAGAGTACAGGTTACTCTATTTGCCCATGAATTTACCTTTGGACTCTTCTTTTTGATCAAGTCTGCTATTTAACCCCTCTAATAAACTTTTCAGTTCAGTTACTGTATTTTTCACTTAATAATTTCTGCTTAGTTCTTTGTTATATTGTCATATATATATATATGTATATATATATATATTAGACAGAGTCTTGCTCCATCACCAGGTGCCAGGCTGGAGTGCAGTGGTGCCATCTCGGCTCACTGCAACCTCTGCCTCCTGGGTTCAAGCAATTTCTCCTGCCTCAGCCTCCCAAGTAGCTGGGACTACAGGTGCGCACCACCACCATGCCCAGCTAATTTTTATATTTTTACTAGAGATGGGGTTTCACCATGTTAGCCACGATGGTCTTGATCTCTTGACCTTGTGATCTGCTTGCCTTGGCCTCCCAAAGTGCTGGGATTACAGGCGTGAGCCACCGCGCCCGGCTGTTTTATATATTTTAAATAACTTCAACCTGTTGATGCATCATTTTTCTTATTTCCTTTAGCTGTCTATCTGTGCCCTTTTTAGGTCATTGAATATCTTTATGACAATTTAAAAAATTATTTGTCAAGCAGCTCATAGGCCTGTGTTGCTTTACTTTTAGGATAGGTTTTATTTTGGTCCTTTGATTGGGCCATGTTTCTCTGCTTCTTTGTATGCCTTGTGATATATATTCTTTTTTCTGAGTTTTGGTCCTTTGAAAACCACCTCTCCTAGCTTTACCAGTCAACCCAGTTTGAGGTTCTGGGACCTTTGAAACTGTTAGGCACGTAGCTCGTGTAGAGACCAGCAGGCAGGCTTCGTGTGGGCAATGAGGCCGCTTTATTTCACACTTGGGTGTAAGCGGGCCAAGTCCGAGAAAGCAGTTAGGCAAAGTGGGTAGGAAAGGGGGCTGGTTATATAGGTTGGGGCAAATGATCAGTTAAAGGTGGTCATCTAACTTGGGTAGGGGAAGGGCGTGACGGGACGCATGGTCTCAAAAGTAGGGGTCATTTATTACAAACGGGCGTGATCATAAGGGTGGGGGGTATCGGTTGCAAGCAGAGGGGAGGATGCGGTAAATGACATAGTTACGGGGGGCGGGGGGGAGTCTTGAGAAACCCAACGTCCAGCGGGAAATTTTCGCAAGACTGAGCAGGAGCAATGGTTGCAGGTTGCAGGGGGAGAGCAATTAGTTGATGCAGGAACAACTTGTTTCACTTCTTTCTGTGGCCACCTGGTTACTTGTGGTCACTTCAGGCTTCCTGGCTCCTGGGACCATCCAGACGTGTACGTGCGGGTCACCAAGGTTATAACGGCCAGGTTTGGACAGGGAGGCCTGACGGAACACTTGCTCATGTCTTACTTTCCTTGGTGTTGTCCTATAAAACTGCATCTCTAACATACAGCTTGCCTTTGCTTTCAGTGCCTTCCACACTCTGCTACCAGTTCCATCAGCACTGAGTCAGGCACGACAGAAACCAGTCCTTCAGACAAGCCACAGCATTAGCTGCATGGTCCACTTTGTTGTTTCCATCAGAAGAGAGGATCCCCTCTATGGGGTGTTTCCCCCCAGTTGCTTCACAGTATAATGCATAGACGAGGGGCATGAATGAGCATGCTAAATGTCACAAATTTTTTCTAATTTTTGGGGGGGTGGTGTATCCTTTCTTGGTTTTACAATGGGCTGGTGCTTGGGCTTCTCCGGCAGTCTCTAGAGTTGCCACAGCCATGGCCCTGCGGGGAAGGAGGTCCTGTCGTTTCCTATTCTGCTCTCTTGCTAATGCCATTCCTTCCTTTTTTCATTTTTTAAGCCCGAAGTAGATTCCCTTATCTCATGATTGACACTTGCTGACTTTTGTATCTTTACCTTCTTGGACAAAATTATCCACTTAATCACTTCTTTTCGTGGCCACCTTCTGGCCTCTTTTGTGGCTCGTTTTCAATAGATCCGTTGATTTTATTTTACTGTCTTTTCCTGCCCACCCCAGTGCCCACTGCTAACCTGGAAAAGTTCAATGTCAAAAATAGGTAATCTGGTCAAAAACTTGTCCTTGATGTTGCTTGAGCTACTCAATATTACCTCTACTATTACTACATTATAAATCTTAGGATTACATATAATCATTCATTCTTTGAATTTTTTAGCTTTCATATTATATTGTGTGTGTATGCGTGTGTGTGTGTGTGTGTGTGTGTGTGTTTTGTCAATCCTCTCTCTCTCACTATTTATATTTTCTAGTGATAAGATATTCGTAAATTCTGATATGCTTTGCTGCAAAGTATAATTTGTATAATTAGATCATCAAATGGATTCATTAGCATAAATAGAAAAAATTATAGGTGTGAATTTTCGTGAGGGTTTATATATGTGTGTATATCTACATATAGAGAGATAGAACATATATGTTTATAGGCACATATATGTTCTTATATATTATTTAAGAATTATAATATATTTCATATGTCTTATGTATAATATATACTATATTATATATTATAAGAATATATAAAATATATCATATATAAGAATATATTATACATAAAATATGTATATGAAATATATATTTATGTATTATACATCTATAATATCTATGATATACATATATAGAATACACACACATTAATAATTGTATAACAAGGATCTGTTGTGACAGAAGAAAATTGTGCAGGTGACTGGTTTTTGCTCTACATACTCTGTAAAAAGCAAAACGATCCATCAATAGGTTTCATCCTATATATGGACAAGTGAAGACTTTTTTGGTTGATAGTTTCTAGCTAGTTTATACTTTTGCACCATATAGGCTTTTGCAAGTATCTGTTTGAAAAGAACACCTCACCTCAAAGCAGTTATTTTTGATATGCCATTGTAGATTCCTAGTAATCACAATCATGCTTCAGAACTTGAAGTTATACTTGAGTGCACTAAATCACTTAACCACGATCTTAATCCCGTATTACACCATTGGACTTCTATTTACTCTACTGACCTTTCTAAAATACGCCTACACTTTTCATTTACTTGATGCATGTTTCTTTAAATATGGTCCATGAACCACCTGAAATAATTTTTAGCATATTCTCCATCCAAGCTAACTGTACCTTGGGAAGAAAAAGGGGTTTATGTGACAAGAATCTGCATTATTAACAAGTTTTCAATTTATTCTTATATATACTGTAGTCTGAGATCTTTATATGCACTTAAGCTTTATATTCTAAAGGTTGAGAAGAATCCTATAAATATATCAAATTATTCCACTCATATGACCCAAGATACCCTTTCATAATTGTTGCAGACTCTGTGCATCCTAAAAATTTAGATAAGGTATATGGCAGAACCAAATTCACTAGCACCAATAAAATGACTGTTAGTTATCAAATAGATAGTTGAAGAACATTTTAATTGAAACACTAGAGCGCAAATTGTGAAACTGACACACACATCTCACTTCCTTAGTGATCTTTAAGAAATAAGTGTGTGCCCTCGTGACTGACACGTAATGAAAATTTTCTTCGATAAACACTTCCTGTCTTCTGAGTTCAAAGCCAGAAGACTGTTTGCATTGTCAAGTAATTTGGGCACTCGGTATAATTCTGCTCCAATAATAGAAAATGACTTTTAGGAAATCTCAG